ACTGAAAATTTGAATGCTTTCTCCCTAACACCTAGAAATGGACAGGGGTGTTAGCAGCCAGAACCCATCCAAATTGGAAGGGAAAATTAAAACTGCCTTCCTTGCAGATGAAATCACTTTGCATGTATAAAATCTTTAAGAACTCAAATTGAGAAGCATTAAAACTCACAGCCAAGTTCAGCTGCATTGTAGGGTGACTGCTCAGTATGCTGAAGTGAGTTTGTTTCTCCATGGGAGCAATGATACCTCCAAAAGGAACTGAGGAAAGTGATTTTGCTTGCAGCCACATCAGAAAGTAGATTAAGAAGCAGTTTTGAAGCTTACAAGCAAAGTGAAAGGCTTAGACATTTGAATGTATAAAATGTTGTTGGAAGAAACTAAGGGACACTCAAATAAATATCTACATAGCCCATGCTCATGGATTGGAAGATGTGATGCTGTGTAAAGAGATAAGCCATGTTCTTGGATTGGAAGATGTGATACTGTGTAGATACCAGTATCCCTCAGGTTGATTAACAGGGTGGATTCTGTTACCTTCTTCCAAACTGGAATTTTAGTCTTGAACGTCATATGAAAATGAAAAAGACACTGAATAGACCAACCAAGGATGGAAACACAGAGGGAAGCCTCCCACTTTCCAGTAATTAAAAACACAAGGTGTCATGACCATGGGCATTAGAGAACTGAATAGAATTGAGGTTTCAGAATTACACCATTACATGATTGATTGATTTTTTTTAAACTCTGGTGCCAGAGTAACTGAGTGGGATAAATAATAGTCTTTTCTATAAATGGTTCTACAACCACTGGGTATCCATTACAAAAGAATGAAGCTGAATCTCTTTGATGCACCATATACAAAGTTAGCTGAACAGGAATTAGTGGTAAATATAAAAAACCAAACCACTATATCCCAGAAGGAAACATAAAATCATATTTCATTGTGACCTTAGCATGAATAATCACTTCATAGGTCCAACTCCTGAAGTACAAGGGACAAGGAATTCAAAACAAAATGAGAATTCACTAAAATGAAATATTTTATGTTGCAAATGAAGCCATCAAGAAGACAGAAAGACAACCTATAGAATGGGATGGATATTTGAAAACTATATATGTCTTGAAAGGGTTTCATCCATTATACATAAAGAACTTTAATAATTCAACAGTAAAAGGATAAAGTTGCTAGCTCCAAAGTGGACAATGAAACTGAACACACATTTCTCCCAAGAAGATAAGCTAATTACCAATGAACTGTAGTGATAATGATGTTTATGATTTATTAAACCCACTGGAAATCAAAACATCAAGGCAGCCATACTAGTTACCTATAGAAGCTAGGTACATATCTTTAATTCCAGGACTCAGGATTAAGAGATAGATAGATCTCTGTTAGTTTAAGGCCACAATGACTTCACAAAATTGATCCAGTCCTAAAAGAATCAGCTTGCACAGAGGTGGTCTTAGTTCCTGGGATCGAGTGCCTTTAATCCCAGCACTAGGTAGGTTTTGACACGGGTAGTATGGCTGGACAGAGAAAGGAATATAAGTATGAGGAGACAGGATCTAAGAGCATTTTGCCTCTGAGGATTTGTGGAGACAGCATTGCCATTTCAGCTGGGTAGATGTAAGATCTACTGGCTTGGCAGTTTTGCTTCTCAGATCTTTAGCTTGAAGCTTGATCTAATATCAGTCTCCAGGTCTTTTATTTTTCATGCTATAATGAACACATAAAAAGATTCTCCGTGTCATTATCCAGGAGAGAAATGCAAATGTAAACCACAATAAAGGGATCACTCATGTTTGCTAGGGTGATGCAGGGATCATTGTAGACAGAAAGGTTGTAAAGGCCAGAGGATAAGGGACCTGCTAGGAGCTATATCCATAAAGTCTCACCAGCATGAACTGAAAAAGGATAACAGCAATAGAGGTGCTAACATGGATGAAGAAAAAGCCATAAGGCTTGAACCCTATACAAGGAACTACAAACAACTAAGGAATGCTTGGATTGGGAGATTAGCCTTCCCCAGGGAAGAGCACATCAGTTGTTTAACCAATACCAAATGGTCAGCCCTTAAAACATACATACAAGTAACATATACAGACTCACACTGAAGAGGTTCTATTTGTGTATTTAGGGTGTGTGTGTGTGTGTGTGGTGTGTGTGTACGCGTGCGTGCGCACGCACGCATATGCATTCATATCTATGTATGTAACAACTATAATGGAAAAAGAACTCATGAATTCAATAAAGAGCAAGGAAGATATATGATAGGGTTTGGAGGAAGAAAAGGAAGGGGGGAATGTTATAATTCTATTATAATCCCAAAAGATAAAAGAAAAGTTTGAAAGAGAAAAGAATAAGAAGGAAGAGACAGGAGGTGAAAGTACCATAAGGATGCAGGTGTGTAGTGCACTGCTGGTGGGATGTGAGTGGTGTGTCCCACTTTGGACAGCAGGTTTTTTTTTTCTTCCTCAGAGGTTAAACACAGCATTATTCTGAGCCAGCAATTCCATTTGTAAGTGCATACTCAAGAGAAACAAACAGACACTTCTCCAGAAGAACTGGCAAACAATGTCCACAGCAAACATTTTCACATTAGCTCAACACTGCAAGAAACCCATGTGCCCATCAAAGGATGAATGGACAAACAAGATGCCTGCAGTCTGTGCTTTCAGCAGTAATATTTCTCAGGCTTAGGAGGGAGGGCAGTACCAATTCTTGGTACAGCGGGAAACCCTGAACATCATGCCAGGTCAAAGAAGACAGTCATAAAAAGACTACCTATCATTCTGCTTACATGAGACGATCATGTGTGGGGGTGGGTGCCACACAGCTGGTGGCAGCCAATGAGTTTCCTGTTATGCTTAAAGTTGCTGTAGTTGGAATTGGTGATGGGTATTCAACTTGGAGTACACTAAGTATGAATTGTATTTCAGGATTTTAAAAGAAGTAGAAAAATAACAAATGCCTAAAAGGGAGAAAACGAATCTGACCACCTCCTCCATACCCAGCACTAATGTTTTCTGTATTTTCTTACTTAGTGATTGCACAAGGAGACATCTGCTTTTCTTGCTTTTGGTTTGAGTTTGATTTTATGTTATCACATATATTAATTTATTCATGTGTATGTATGTATGTGTGTATGTATGTATGTGGGTGTGGGCCAAGCCTGGTGTGTGGAAGTGGAGCCACTTGTAGGAGTCTGTTCTGTCTTTCCATCATGTGGGGCCTGGGAATGAGACTCAGGTCATGTGAGTTGCTGGCAAATGATTTTATCCACTGAGTCATCCTGGCATCTTTGGCTTTGTTTTTTTTTTTTTTTTTTTTTTTTTTTTTTTGTTTTGTTTTGTTTGAGACAGGATTGCACTCTGTATGCTAGACTGGCTGAGAGTTCACTGTGTGGCCCCAGGTGATACCTGCCTCAACCTCCTCAGTGTTGAGATAACAGGTGTGAGCCACCATGCCTGTTTTGGCATGTCTGTTTTTGGAGAAGGCTATAAGGCACACATATTCACACACCTTTTCTTCCTACCCCAGTCCATCTGGGAAGGTCTGGGAGCCTCTCAATTTGCTGTTGTATATGTATCTGTTCTGTTGAGCATCATGCATGGGTGGCTTCTACTTCTGTTCATCTGTGTAATTATTACTACTCTTTATGTACATACTTGGATTCTTTCCTTAGGTAAGTGTCTTGGAAATTGTTCATTTCCTAAGATAGATTATCACAACCTGGGTGACTTAAAGCAACAAATTCATAGTCACTCATGGTTCTGGGAGCCAAAAGTCTGAAGCCAAGGTGTCTACTGATGGACTCCTTCTTGGCCGCTGTAGGAGACTCCTCACCATTCTCCTGGCTTCCTAAGGTTGTTCAAAATCCTTAGCTTTTCTCAGCTTACCCAGCTATCACTCAAGTCATCCCCATCCCCAACCCCATTGACATGTATATGATCATATTATGTATATTTTTGCTGCATAATGGATTGAAACAAAATGGATTTGCTTGTTATTATGCTGTGGTCTTCATACCATTTGTGTACAGCCCACTCCACAGGATAGTTTCCCCAGTTTAATTTGTTGCTTTTATGTTTCAATTACAAATACAGTAGAGAGCCTTGAAGATCTGTCATTGTCTAGTATTTATCTGTTCATTAGAATTTATTTTATGTAAAATGTATTTATTAGGATTTAGGGCTTTCAATCAAATGGAATGGGTTACTTTTGTTTCAAAATTGCATTTATAGCACATCTCTTCTTACTTGTCCTCAGGTTCATTTCTAACAGGTAGATCTAATCTGAATAAAAAAAGGAAGATAAATATATATGTATGTGTGTGTACACACACACACACCAAAAAAAAAAAAGACAGGGTCTCATGTGTCCAAGGCTAGCCTGGAATTCACGTTGTAGTCAAAGATAACCTTGAATTCCTGATCCTTCTGCCTCCTTGTGTATATGCTTAGTTTATGTGGTACTAAGGATGAAACCCAAGTCTAAGTATGTGCTAGGCAAACATTCCACTGAGTTATGCCTCCAACCCTAAGAGGAATATATTCAAGTATCTGACTATCTCTATAAACAGAACATACTCCCCTTGATAGGTTTATGTAATACCTACTAAGTATTAGGCCCCAGCGTCAACCTTTCTTGTGATGTATCTTTTTCATAAGAAAGGAAATGAACAGGCTCCTGGTTTGTATTTGGAGGGCTATTTTGATCGAACATAAAAGTGGACCTAATTGTATTATAAAGCAGAGTTAACTAGAGACTGTGTGTCCCAATTCCAGTGAGCCACCTTATCCTGATCTACCCCTTATGGTTTTGGGTTAGAACAGATGTCTTCTGTCCAGGTTATGGCTCATTCAGAGTGATGTGACATCCTGGCATATCTCATCTCTCACTAGATGGAATCTTGAAAACCCTAAAAAGTAGGTTATTTTTGAATGCACCTAGTTTAGACCATCGATCTGTGCCTGATGTTGTCTGTTTCATTGTGTAGGTCTCTTCATGTGCTAGTGTGTAATGCGGGGACTTTTGCTCTACCCTGGACCCTCACAAGAGATGGACTGGAGACGACCTTCCAGGTGAACCACCTGGGACACTTTTACCTTGTCCAACTCCTGCAGGATGTTTTGTGTCGCTCAGCTCCTGCCCGTGTCATAGTGGTCTCTTCTGAGTCCCACAGGTGGGTTTTAATTTAATTTGATATTTTCCATTCACGAGTTTGTTTACACCATCTGAAAATTCTCTCCATGGCTCTTACTGAAAATAATCTTGACTTGAGCCTGGAGAGAGATCTCAGCATTTAAAAACTCTTATAGAGAACACAAGTTCAGTTCCCAGCCCTCAGGTAGATGATTCCAGCCACAGAGGATCCAACACCCTCTTCTGGTCTCTACAAAAATAATCAAACACACACAGAGTCTTGAAAAATACTAATTTTGACTAGACTCATAGGAGAAACATGAATGTACGCAACGTGGCTTCATTAATTTTTCTAGATCTTTCTGTATGTGTAGTCATGGGGAATTGTTTGGCAGGGGGACTGTCTAGAGTAATATAGAGTGATTTTACAATTATACCTTAGGCTCCCCATTGATTTCACTCAGAGATGGAATAATAATTGATTAAATCTGAATGGCATGACCTTTATTGATTTGTAATTCAACAACTTCAAAGTCTCACCGAGAGGAAAGCGCAGTTATTCTAGCAGGGGAAACAATGCAGTTAAAGGCCGCGAGATGAAATCCAATTGTTTTATAATGAGAAATTAGGGAATTCAATGCAGACATTAGCAGCATAATTGCAGAAAGGAAAGGACTGTAGTTAGCGCGTATTGGAAATCTGGCCATGCCTCTTTCGGTTAGAATTTCAATTTACACATCAGATGGCGTTTCTTTCTGATTGCCATTAGACTATTCAATCGACGAGAAAGACATCTGAAAACATCATGAGTGTTTTCAGCATATTTGTGCTGGAGTTGGATAAACAACTAACTGTTTCTAAGAGAAGTACTGAGAAAAGACAAAGGGTTTTCTGGGCTGTCGAGGCAAGATTTACAGCTTGTTAGGGAGACTTCTCTTCCCAGTGTTCCTAGTGTTGGGGACTAGCGGGGGAGGGTTGCCTCCTTAGTAAAGTAGCTAGGAATAAATAAATAAAAAATAATGTGCCAAGGACTATTTTCTTCCTCTTCTCCACCTTAAGTCCTGAAATGTTTTGGTGACCCAGAATGTGGCTTATTTTTTTAATCATACTTCCATAAAATGTAACCCCTGGGACTTTGAAGAGCGAGACCAGCCAAGGGTTAGCTTGAACCCTTTATCACTCCCAAACACAGGGGCTTATGGTGTAAGTGACACACCACAGACAGATTTACTCTTGCCAGTTTAAATTTATGATGGCTGCAATGAAAGGGAAACTCGGGTAATAATCCTCCCCTGTGCGAAAAGACACGAAACATCTAGTAATTAGGTAATAACAAAATCTGGCCAGGCTTATCTTTGCAAATCACACCAGGTTTGTGAAAGAAGGGGAGTGGCCCCTGCAAAGCAGCGAAGGAGGCTACCGTGGGGGCAGGCAGGAGAGAAAGCTGTAGAAATAAATCTGCCAGCCCCAATCGCTTACCAGATGTGGAGGGCACCACGGGATATGTTTAAATGAGCTGGTATTTAATGGGAGACAGTGTGGAGGTGTCAGCTGCTCACTCCCTTCGTAAAGCTGTCTCAGATGCCATTTCCTGGGACGCCTTTGTTCTCACTGTAATTCCCGCTTACTTGGAGATCCAAGTCCTACTTTCATTTTAAAGATGAATTTCGAAGGAGAGACTGTGGCCTTCTGAATGAGATCCATTGTCATTTCTAGCAAGGCCTAACTGTTGTGTGTGTAAAAGGCCTGCATCTGTGTGCCCACTGGCTCTTCTCACCCACTTTCTGCTTATTAACATTCTTACAAAATATTAATTCCTACAAGCTGAGTGTTTATTACTCTTTTGTTGCATTCCTGAGCTCCAGAGAGCAAGCATGGGTGCCAGGCACACAGAGAGCGCTGGCTCACTACTGAAGGGCCCAGAGCCGAAACCAAACTGTAAAATGCAAGTGTTGATATCTAATTACCTCCATAAACCTTGGTGGAATCCCTTCGTTGGAGTCAAGACCCCCTGTTAGGGGAAAAATAAAGTCTTATGTTTGCAGAAAATATTATACTGGATGCCCTTGGGCGAATTATTTATTAACCGCTCTCTATCTTCACTGTGTTTTACTTACATAGCTGGAGTCTGAGCAAGTGAATTGAGTTTCTGCCTGTCTAAAATATATCATAATGAAATGGGAAGTTGGCTTTCACACTGTGAAAATTTTTCAGATAACAATTAGAATAGAATGAAAAGAGCAGAGTGCTGGTCGTACAGCTCTAAAGTCTCCGCAATAAGAAATAACAGGCAGATGTGTACAATCAGAGACACAGTCACACAGTCACAGTTACACACATGCAGTCACAATACAACCCCACACAACCAGCCACAGAGTTCGGCACTCAGTCACCCCCACAATCTCACATGTGTAGAGTCTCATACACATATATCCACACAAACAACCACGTACAATCACACATAGTCATACATACAATCATACTCCAACACAGCCTCACCTATATAGAACCAAAACAAAAACCACATATACCACAAAGTTATATAACCATGCCAAGAGTCTCACATAGTCACACAACGATACATAGTCTCGTAATAGAAATCACACATGTACAGTTATATGTAACCACAAGAAACCACATAAAGTCAGAGACAGACATCCCAGTCACACATAATCATACACAATCATAGACAAACTCATTCCATCACAAATGTATAGTCACACAGCCACACACATGGCATGCACATCTTATCACAAACACATAGATAGCCACACACATTCAGTTATACACACACAAACACACACACACACACACACACACACACACACACACACACACACACAGAATTTCCCATGCAAGTTCACTTCTACTACTTGAACACACTAGCTTGTCCTTTCGAGTCCATTCTCATTATTATTGGAATTAAAAATTGTTTCAGCTATATAAGAGACATATGTAAAGAAATAGAAGATGGATGGGGGCTCATGGTGGCAGTCAGTATCTGGAGAGTGAATGTCAGCCAACCTCGCTATGGACAGCAGGGACACTGCTCAGACGTTGTCTTTGCCAGACTTTCAGCTTGAAGACAGAGCAGACAGCCACAAAGAGCTGCTTCACTGCCTCTTGAGCAGCCAGGCCAAGGGATCCTCTTCCTAGATCCTCTCTCACTTCTGTGTGGGTGGACCAGAAGTTAGTATTCAGGCATCTACACTGGCCTGCCCTCAGGATTCTGGCAGGATATGCCCTAAGCTGCAACCACTAAGAGCACCACCTGTATACATTCACTATGTTCCCTTTAAAAAGGGCCCTGCCCACCTCCCATTTCTCTCTTTCACTCTTTCTCGCTCTCTCTCTCTCTGTGCTTCTCAGCCTGTCTCTCCTTCTGCTCCCCCCCCCCGCCTCTCCTGTCCCCTTCTCCTCTCCCTGCTTTTCCCATTTACTTTCCAATAATAATAATAATAATAATAATAATAATAATAATAAACTGTCCACCCAAGCTCTGTCCATTGGCATGTTTCTCTTGCATGCTGCCTTTTAAAATTACAAAACCAGAAAGTGTCCATCCTTCCCAACTTCCTGAAGAACTGATGGCATAATCTAGTGAGACCTTCAGGAGTCTGGGTTTCACATGGCCTGAGGTTCCATCTGAAATGCTAAAGAAACAATAGATAGTATAGACAAGTTTAATCTGCCCAATGTTCCCTAGTCATGAGGTCAGGGGCCCATCCTAGCACCAGGAGACACTACCTGCAAATGTGTAACCAAGAACTTTGAGAGGGTGACCTTCATTCATGGTCAGTGTTACCTTTCAAGTGAGACTTTATATATGGTACACTTGCCTATAAGCTCTGAATTCTAGCCTCATGTTTAGCCTAGCCTTCAGTTGTAAAATCCTGGATTAAGTTTCTGTTTTAATCCTGACACTGTCTGTTCACCAAGAATTCCCAGCCTAGCATTTGAGCCAGGTAGATAAAGGACTGGCACTCTGTGTTAATGCCAAGAGGTAGTGGGCATGTAGGACACAAAAATGGTATTGCTAGCTGTGCTTCTGATCTTAGAGGGACGATGCTGTCATGAAACACTGGGAGTAATGTCATAGAGTTGGTCCTGCAGGGTGGATGTTGAATTACCATGGAAACAGATATCTCAGTCTCCTCCCATGACTTTTTCCAATCTATCCATCTTACCACCAAGAAATCCTTGTGGCATCAAGCTGGGAGAGCTTCCTGGAAGAAGTGTCCCTAGTCTGGGATCATGTGACTGCTTTGGCTAGGGATATTTTATAGGAACCAGAAGAGAAATAAGAATTGAGTGAAGGGTGTCATATTTACTCTACAACTTTCAGATATTTGTGTGTGCTCAGTACAATTTTCTCCTCTCAATAGTAACATTTCCAGCTCACATCTCAGATCTTCAATCTCCAGTTTTGTAACTCAGTTGATCCTTGTGTGACCACCCTTCTGTAACACCTCATTGCTATATTGAAATCAAGTTGAAAAATAGTATCACTTCCCCTTCACAAACGTATATTTTAATTCACTCTGATAGTATAAACCTACCATAAAGAAAGCATAAACCGGAAACAAAATAGCATGTATTCCAACATTGAACTACTTGGGCAGGGCTATGGGGGAGATAATTGAATATGTGCTCTGCATAAATCTCCCTCACACAGACTGTCAACAGGGAGGCTCCACTGCAAGTTCCAGGGCCACCAATATCGAATCAAACCTCACACTCCTGAGCCCCAGGACTTTCAAGAGTACATTCATTCCTCATATGTACAGTTGTTGCATGGGATTGAAGTTTCAGCCAGTGTTGAAACTATACACGTATATGAAGCACAAGCTGGAGACTGAGAATTCCGCCCAGCCTTCATATCTGTATGAATGTCCATGGGGCAGACATCATGGAGCATGATTCTTGTCCATGCAGGGTACCTGCCTTACCTTGCCCGCACTGGTAGTCATTCCTTCTATCAGAACAAAGACCCCGAAGTTTTCACATCTCTTGCTAAGTTCTTTTTGCTTTGGACAATTAAGCTTCAGGTCTGGGGTCTTTCCATAGCTTCAGAACATGGAAACAGGAAACTAACAGTTAGCTGCAAGGTGTCACTGTCACTCCCTCAGTGACATTAGCTTTGCTGACTTCTTCATCTCAGCATTCAGCATCTGGAGTAAATGGAGTCCTGGAGGGAGAGGACTCTATTAACATGACCATCACCGGCTGTAGTGATTTGAATGAGGCATGGCCTTTTTTGTCTGGAACATTTGAAATCTTAGGTGGTGGCAGTGTTTGTGTAGGATTATAAGGTGTGGCCTTGCTAAAGTAAGTATGTCCTTGGGAGTGAGCTTTAAGCATTTAAGAACAAGCACCATTTTGAGTGTGATCTTTCAGCTTTATGCTTGAGGTTGGAGATGTGTGCCCATGGCTCCCTGTTCCTGCTGCTATGTGTTCACTCCACCATCGTGGGCTCTAGCTCTCTGGAACTGTAAGCCCAAATAAACTCTTCCTTTTGTAAGTTGCCCTGGTAATGGTGTTTTATCACAATTATAAAAAGTAACTGACACACCTCGACCTTGTTTTTCTTAGTTTTAACTCATCCTGAACTGTTTCTTCAAAGGAGCAAGGTTCCTTCTCGATGCTTCATTGCCATTTGTACTTTGTTTTTTATAGTCATTTTCTGCAACATTCTTATCTTGTTCCCTAACTATGTGCACTGTCTAGTTTTATGTCAACTTGAGACAAGTTTCAGTCATCAGAGAAGAGGGGCCCTCAATCGAGACCAGGCTGTAGGCAAGAAAGCCTATAGGGCATTTTCTTAATTAGTGATTGATGTGGGAAGGCCTGGTCCATTGTGGGTGGGGCCACCTCTGGGCTAATGGTCCTGGGTTCTATAAGAAAGCAGGCTGAGAAAGCCATGGGGAGCAAGCCAGTAAGAAGCACTCCTCCATGGCTTCTGCATCAGCTCCTACCTCCAGATTCCCATCCGGTTTGAGTTCCTGTCCTGACTTCCTTTGATGATGAACAGTGATGTGGAAGCATAAGCCAAATAAACCCTTCCTCACCAAGTTGTTTTTGGTCATGGTGTTTTATCACAGCAGTAGTAAGTCTAACTAGGATACTATAGGATGTCCAAAATAGACATAATGAAGCCAAGTATGTAAGATTCTTTTAACAAATATGATACTATCTAGAACATTCTTTTAGGTTGTTTCTTATGATTCATTTTTTAAAAAGGCAATAACTTCCCTTTTTACAAAGTGGCAGGAATAGAGGAAGCAAAGAGCTGGTATATAACAGCTCTGTCAGATTCTATAATAAAGCATCAACTAGTTACTTTGATTTGTGTGTGTCCATGCCACAGGCATATTCAAAAACAGTAGTCAGGGCCAGAACTCGTTTGGGGCTTTGTTTATTTATTTTTTAAATGTAGAAGATTTTTGATGGCACCTCACCAAGGTTACAACCCTTTTATGATCATTAATTTTTAATCTGGGAAAGAGTCTTGGAGGCAAGATGGCTCATCTATATTAACTTGGATGTTCAAATGAAAATATCCAGGACTCATGCATTTGGCTAAAATAATCTAGGGAAACCCTGCCAAAGGTTAGGAATGTGATACTGCTTTCCTAATGCAGCCACCTTTTATCTAAGGCTTGTTTCCATTTAATTATCTTTGAGCTTGTGGTTGAAGATATTGAGGCACACATGCACATACACACACATACAGAGAGGGGGAGAGAGAGAGAGAGATTTCTTCCCTTTTTATTTTTGAGATTGGATCTTACATTGAAACTCAATCTAGTCTGGAACTCACTATAGCCCAGACTAGGCCCAAGCTTGAGATGATTGCCTGCCTGCCTGAACTTTCTGAATGTTACAATTAAGGCTTGATTGAGGCACAGAGGGCCTTGGGTTTATTTGGTCTACTGTAATTCTGTGTATAGGCTTAAGCTCCCATCTGTTTTTAAGGAACATGATGGTAAGGTATGCTATATCAAATCTCCAGAGTTTGTTAAGATTTCAAATCAAAATTCGTGTCTTTTGTGGAAGCCATGTCTTCTGTGCTCTATGTCATGTGTTCTATTTTTCAGATTTACAGATATTAATGATTCCTCAGGGAAACTTGATCTCAGCCGCCTGTCTCCATCTCAGAGTGATTACTGGGCCATGCTGGCTTATAATAGGTCCAAACTCTGCAATCTTCTCTTCTCCAATGAGCTCCACCGTCGCCTCTCCCCACGAGGGGTCACGTCAAATGCAGTGCACCCTGGAAACATGATGTTCTCATCCATCCATCGAAACTCATGGATATACACGTTGCTGTTCACCTTGGCCAGGCCATTCACCAAGTCCATGGTAAGTGGATGGCTTCTGGTACCCCCAGATGCCTTCAGTCAACTTCACAAAAGGGCCTGCGAACCCATACCTGTGCGTCGACATGTGGTCTCATTGTTGTCTGTTCTCATGGGGCTGGATCGAGTTTAACAGCATCATTGGCAAAGGCTCTCCAACACATCTCTATTACCTTTAGGTTGGGTCTATTCCTCTACCAGAGTCCTGGCACCTTGGATAAGAGATATTGGTTCTCAGTGTTAGGTGGAGAACCCCTGGAAATCATGGGGGTTTGAAGTGAGATGTGCACTTCATCTGATTCCTCTTAATGTGATTTTTGTTTTGGTTCACGAACTTCTAAAGTCTACTTTGTGGGATATGGCTCTTGATGTGTGTGCTTTGTGTTAGTGGAAAATGTGGATTAGGAAGTGTTAGGTGCAGTCCTTCTGGGTTCAGTGAGCTTTTGTATCAGATGTTCTCGGTGCTTCTTGTAATGGCGGTCTGGAGGTAGCTCCTTCCTGGAGAAACCTTTGTGGCCAGAATGTGGTTATCCTTTGTATCCCTGAAGACAAATCTTTGGGTAAATCGCACTGCTGTGGTTAGAACTGAAGTGTTCACAAAACTGAATACGAAGATTTTACGTTTTCATCGGTTGTTTATAAATGGTGTGTGAAAACCTCTTCCATGAATTAATTAACACAAAGTGACTTGAATGAAAAGGGTGCATGTTCTGCGGCACATTCGGTCACTTGCTTTCCGAAGCCTCAGACTCTGAAAAATGTGTTTCTTTTAGGGCCAAGGAGACAACTTAGCAGGCTAAGCACTTTCTGCATAAGTATTGAGAACTGGATTCATATCCCAGTGGACAGGTAAAAGCTAGAAATGATTTTGTACATGTGTAACCCCAGTGCAATGAGAAAGCCTGTCTATATATGAATTAATAAATAATAAGCACAATAGGGAGTGTCAAAGGAAGAGCCAAACATCCACCTCTGATTTATACACATACACACATGGATGTGCACAACACATACGCACATTCCACACCTACACACATGGGATCAATAACACAAGTATTTTCTTTTGAATTGATATATCCATGGTGCAACTACTGATGTTGTTTTTATATAATAGAAATTATTCTTCATACACACACACACACACACACACACACACACACACACTTGGTTCTTTGGACTAGACTGGCTATCCTCCTGGTGGTGGTAAGGAAGCTAATTGGCTACCTAGCACAGTAAAACAATTGGCTCACCTTAACATTCCTCAGTGTATTCTCTGGTCATCAAGACCACTTAGGAAAGTTGCATCATGCACCTGCTGCCTACATCCCAAAGAGATGCCCTGGGGACTGACAAGAATGAGTATTATACCTCGAATCATGGACGTAGGATTTGTCTGGTGGTTATCATCTGTCCATTGGCCACTTACAGCAATTGAGACCTTGACATGGGCAGCACAACTGAGGAAATTCTGAATTCTACTACATTTCAGTTTAAATATCCACATGTGGCTTGTGATGGCCATATTACTTACAGTGTGCTGTGTACAACACCTGTTGCATTATACACCCCTCCAAGCTCTCACTATTCTTGATTCTGTGAGCATTACCTGTGTCTAGAAAGTTATTTTTTATACCTCAGTTGTGATGATAGACATAACAAGAGTCATGGGGCTAAAAATTATAATAAATCAGATAATTCTATTTTCTGTGACTATAGTGATTTTAGTTATGAGAAATAGGGAGTCTGGTGGTGGGTATAGGGTGAGGTCGATGGCACTGTCCTTCTCTCAAACAGTCCAGGAATAGGATTACTGGTAAGACAGGATGATTGCATAGGAAATCCTGAGGTGGTGACCTCATACCTATGTGGTCTCAAGGAAGTCACAGTGGCTGGAACTTTCCATTCTCATATTTTTAATTGATTAGGAAATAGCACTGTTGATAGCTCATAAATGTCCTTTAGATGTTACTGTTGACTTCTTTTCTTTGTGTGTGTATAGTTACTTTGAAACTTGAAACTGGATCTCACTGTGTAGCCATGGCTGGCTTGGTAGGTATTATATAGCTCAATCTGGCCTCAATTATAGAAGTCTCTGCCTCCTGCTTCTGAGTGCTAGATTTATAAGCCTAAGGGTAGAGATTAACAAGATCAGGGAACATATAGCCATGTTTAGGTTTTCTGTGATAATAGTAACCTGTCTAGGTGGCCAGTGGTACTTTGGCATTGAGTTTCCTATTGATGAGTTCCCCAGGAGGGAGGCGGGAGCTCAGGATGAAGGAGGAGGGAGTTCAAGAGGGAGGAGGGAGTTCAGGATGATGGAGGAGGGAGCTCAGGATGAAGAAAGAGGAAGCTCAAGAGGAGGGAGGAGGGAGCTGAGGATGAAGGAGCAGGGAGCTCAGGAAAAGAGAGACAGGAAGAGGGAGTTCAGGAGGAGGGAGGTTGGGAGGAGGGAGGAGTGCTGGTCACACTCATCAGATGCTGCTCCACTGCAAGTATTTAGGACTCTGCAGCAAGAAAAGGAAGCAGCAGCAGGAGTGGGTAGAGCTGGGTCTGTCCCCAGCAGGACAGATCTGACTGACCACAAGGGTCTCTCTCTCATGCCATTTTCCTCACATACCTCTCTTTGCTTCCATCACGATAAGGCATTTATTTCTTGGACAATGGATGCACTTCTGCCATTTTCAAGGAGCTATGTATTGAAACACAGACCATGAGTATCAGAGTTCCCATCCCACATACAGGGAGGATTCCTAAATGACAGCCAAGCAGCTTAGCGCTCTGTGAAGAGACAGCTAGGGCTCCATTTGCGCTTCAAAGTCCCATCTCCATTTTGCTTTACCGAAAGCATTTTTCTCACTGCAACATGGGCATAGCTTTCATAAACTCTCCATTGTATGAGGCCCAGGAAGAAAAAACACCACCCTGCCTGGCGCTCGGAAACCCAGCCTTCCCTTCTCCGCTGCAGCCAGCTCCCATAAGCATTAAACAGCAGTGTTTTAATATCAACGTCCCTTCTTTATTTGCTGTGACTCGCTGTGACTATGGTGATTTTAGTTACCGTAATTAGGTCACCCTTCATGGAGTCAGGCTATTTTAAGTGGCTCTTTAAGACTATTGTTGCAGATCAGTAATTTTACAATTGGATGCTCTTGTGCAACTTTATTAAATGTAATATGTCTTTTAAATGTTGCCCTTTTACAGTTATACGTTTCTAATTGTTGCTGTAAATGCATTATCACTTTGAAATTAATTAATTTTTGCATTTGGGCCTCCTGCAGTATAATAATCACTAATGAGAAACTCACAGGGACCAATTCTCAGCACAGTGCCCCCTACTGGCAAGTCCACATCTCTGCTGCCCTCTCCACAGGACAGATGTCCTGAGGCTTCTAGGAGAGGGGTGCTTATTCCTCCTTTAATTTATGATAAAATAAAAATAAGGTAAAATGGAAATATGCTGTTTTAAATGTTTAAGACAAGTTTTTTTTTCCAGTAGCAGTCCTTGAAATGTCTTAAAGGAAACCAAAGTTTGTTGAGGGTGTTCTCATGATGGAATCACTTCATGTGGACACTTCATGTCAACTTCTCTGTCTCTAAGATGTGGCTTATGTGTGTGTGTGAGTGTGTACTACATGTTACCATACATAATATTGTTACATGCGCGTAGTAATTCATGGCATCATAATTCCCGTAACCTGACCTGTGCTGCTATGTCACAGCATAAGATTTCCTAGGGTGATTTTGGCTATTGGCATGTGCTACCTCTTTTGAGGGCTTTGCAGTCCTTGCTACTTGGTGGCTCCCATCTGACATCACAGTGTTGGCATCTATGTGCTCATTTTTCCCACACAACCCTTCTGCAGGGTCAGAATGACCTCTGTCTGACCCCAAACAAGCACAGAGAGCTCACCCAGCCTGTTCAAAGAAAATGCCACTCTAGCCCCGTGTACCTTCGCCAACTCCTTCCTGCTCCATTTCCTTGGTCAAACACGCCATAGTGCCTCTGCCATGTGTGTCTGATTGTGTTGTTACCGTTTCCACTTTAAAACATTTGATGGCACCTTCTTGACTCTCTCCATTTTTTTATTTTTCCACATAAGTTTTAAACTCTGGTAAACAACATTCTCGCCAGAGGTCCCAGGGCCAAGCAGGCCCTTGGTGGATCAGCATGTAAATTTCAAGTTGAGCACAGTCACGTGCCTTGAAGGGTGTTTGGAGCAACCAAATATTTGTGTTGGCAGGTAACAGTAGGAAAGAATATCATGTGTTAGGGTAACAAGAGCTTAGCAGATGTTTTAGGGAACTGTGTTTTCAAATCAGTTCACATTTAAAAAAAAAAAAAAAGAAAAGAAAAAATTGCTTGAATTTGTAGATGTTCTGGAAGGATTGGGTTTCTCTTCCCGTGGCCGTGAAAAGGCAGCCATTGTAACCAGTCTTAGCAGATGTGTGGCTATCCGGCTAATGGATGGGCCTGCAACACGGGGTCCTATTGCAGGGTTATAAATTACAAGTAGAGAAAGCACAACATAGCATTCTTCTAACCTTCCACAGAGCCAAGCTGGGTAACTCTGCCCTTGAATAACCCATGGCCCAGTGATTTATAGTTGTGCAATTTTAAAACATAATGAAGTGCATAATAAATGTTGATTTGTTCTTTAAATTAGTATTTTAGCAAAATACTTCTCTCCCTTTATCACCTTCAAAGACCTGGAGCTGGCTACTCTGGAGGTGTATTCAAGGGCTCTCTTTATGGTTGAATCTTTATTGGTATATTCACATGTCCCATACAAGGAGGATGAGGATTAACAGGGCTTTTTCATTTTCTTCTTCCTTCCTTCCTTCCTTTCTTTCTTTCTTTCTTTCTTCCTTCCATCCTTTCTTTCTTTTCTCTCTGTTGAGAAAAGAAAATGCATTCTGCAATATGGAAATCTCAGTGTATTCCTTGTTGATCTCAATATTTTGAGCCTTCCCAGCACAGGTGGAATTCTCTGATTTCTGTGTACC